GTTCTCATTCTTCTTAATAAACTCAAATTTCGAGTTTCCGTATTGCGAAATAACTCGACAAAATATTTGGTTTTTCGGAACCACATGACTTGTTGATAAAATGGTGTATCCAGGGACTATGCATTGGTTCTTGTAGTCATGTTCTTCTAATTTCATTTCATCAACCATCGCTTGCATGGGGCTCAATGTACCCGACGCAAATATGATCGATCTCACTGAGCTTTGCATCAATGACATCCCAAGCGATGAACTCAAACATCTCACTCTGAAGTGCAGCTCCATGTCCGAATCCACTTCTCCAAAATTTTCTTTCACGTTATTTAAAACACCTTTTGCTGTGTTGAAAGTCCTCTCTCTCGACTCCACAATGACTTTAAACTTCTCTCGCAAATTTTCCACACGAAAGGCTTGAACATAAAACACGGCCATTGATATCGATTCAAGTACATACGGATCCAAATAGTCCGCAATATTTGGTAACAACAAGATATCATCCACTTCTCTCATGATTTCATCGATTTTCGCAGCCCCTTCTAGTAATTTGGAATATTCAACTCGGGTGATCACCGGTAAGAACGCTTCAACATCAAACAGTGAGTATCTCTTCTCTTCGTCTTTTTCAACGAGTTTTCTCGAATGAGCCCATTCACATATATGTGTAAACAAGTCGATTACACTATTAAAACGGTCCTTCTCGTCTTGTTTTGCTTTCTCAAAATCAAATTTTGCATTTGTTCGCTCCTTCTCTTCTTTTGGTAATTGACCAACATTTACATTACACTTCTCGTCTTTAAACGGTATCACCTCGATCAAAACCCCATTTTCTTGGTGTTTATCATTCATATTGTCTTCACTTTTTGTGTTGAAAATATCACTTTTAACACTCACATGTGTTTCCTTTTCTTCTTTCACTTGATGTGTTAATTGAAGAAAATTGGTTTCATTTTTGACTGCCGACTTTTCTAATACAATTTGTTGTTCCTTTGCCTGTTCCTTCATCCGATCCCAAAACACCTCCCTCCTCCCAATTTGCCGTTGTACATTTAAAACGACTCTCTTCATGATGTCCTCCCCAAAATCAAAACTCATCGCATCCATCAACGAATCCTCCGCGTTGTGTGCTTCGTCCAAAACCAACGCACATTCATCGTTCTCATTTTCCATGAAAAAGATTGAACTTGTCGATCGAATGCTGGGATTAGTTATGAAGTTGTAAGGACACAAGACAAGTCTTACCTTAGTGACAACCCACTTCGAGTAGTGATACGGACACACTTTATTTTCTTTGCAAATTTGGACCAACTCGGTGTGTTCCACAAGTAATCCTCGTGTGATGGAATACACCTTTTCAAACTTCGCAAGTGTATCTGGCGCAAGCCCAAATTGGTCAAAATGTGGTCTGAATGGGCAACTCCTTTTCTTTGTTATTCTTCTGAACGCTATTGGATCCATATTACACCAATACCCGTTGTTGTCCATATCCTGTTGTTCAGTATTTTTGAAGTGGTTTAAAATAACACGTCTGTTATTTTGTGAAGTATTTGTAGCTTCAATTCATCAATAAACAACGCGAAGTTATTAAAACAAACTTTGATGGTGTCATAGACACAGTACAACTCTCTTGAAGCCAATATGACGCCCTTTGTTGGTTTCAATTTCCGACACTCTCTCACCACTTGAGCCAATTGATTGTGTGTTCTCGACGTGTATACAATTCGGTGGACATCAGAAGACAACGCCGCGTGTAACAAAACAAGTGTCTTTCCCGTTCCCGTTGGACTTTCCAAGAGCAAGTGCTTTCCGTCCGCAATAGCTTTTTGGATCGCGGACAACATCTGGACCTGCTGTGGGTATGGTGGGTATGGAAATGTTGTTGACAGATCATCGAACGTCTCGGTGTGTTTCAAGTGTGACACTTCGCTCTTATTTTCTTGATCTTGTGTTGCAAAATACTTGTTCAAATCTTCTAAAATTGGGAGTTGTGTGTGTTGTGTGCTGTCGACACCTTTTCGTGCAACACAGGACGGGAGTTGTGGGACGAAGGAGTGACTGGGATCAATTGATTTGTGTGGCGTATCACTTTCGGGTTTGATTTCAGAGATGTTAAGTGATGGTTCTGTCATTGAAAGGTATGTCTCATCAGACATTGATGTATGAGTGACTAAGATTTAATTAGAGAAAAAAATAACTCAACTTTAATGAAAGATTTGAATAATTTTAATAAATTTAATTTCATTTTTTAAGTAATTTCTTATAATTATTTTTAATAAATATATAGTAATTACTTATTAAAACAATTATAATTAGTTATTAATTTAAAATTATGTTTTGTTTGACTTATGACAGTTTGCAAAATTTTCACAAATCTTAATGTTCGGCGAATTAGAATAATAATGAAAAAACTATAATTTTTGGTTAGCTTGAATTAGATATATTATATCCCTTAACTGTTGAAAAATAAATATTTTAATAAATATTTAATAAAATAATTTAATATTTTATATTATTTTTAATTGCGATGACTTTATGGGTATTAGAAATAATTTGCCTAAAATTATCTTTACCAAATTTGTTGAATGCCGAAACATAAAATGAACAATTTACAAAGATCAAAAATAAAAAACATAGACTTACTTAATTTGAATAATTGTAATTAAAATTTGTAGAAAACACTTTTTGAATATGCTTATTTAGGTATTTTATGATTTATGTAATAAGTTGTATTGTTTTTGAATTGCTCAATAAATTTTTGTTTAACTTTGGCTTGTCATCTAGCACATCATTTCAACATTTCGTTGTTGTTAATCATAAATTTACGACCGTTATTTTATTTAACGTGGTCAAATTTGACAATAAAGTGTTTTAACCTTTAACATTGTTTCAATATACCATTTATGTTACATTTTTAACAACATTTAAATTAATGTTTAACCCTCAAACATTAAAACTATTGTTTATATCTTATGTACACATTTTTGTGAGCATAAAGTAAAAACCAGAAATTGTTGCAAAATGTGGAATTATACTAATGTTTGTGTTATAATTTAAAGTTGTATTTTATGTTACAATTATACAATGTAAAAACACCTTTTGTTTTTTGAACACTTTTTGAAAATGTAGTTGTTAACAGCAAACCTTTTGTGCTAACTGTTGTTATAAAATTATCAAAATTAATAATCAAATGATGATGTCTTTATCTAACTTTTTTATCGATATTTTAATCTTATAAAACATCTTTAAATGTGTGTTGTTAGTAAAATAATAATACAACAGTTAAAAATAATTATATATAATATCTCGTTTATATTAATTATCAACAAATAGTTGTTTAAACATAATTGGGTTTATTGATGTAGTTACATTTATAAAGTGATCTCAATAGTTTAAAATTGTATTTTTTGTTGTTTCAACAAAATCGTGATAATTATTCAAATGTAACAATCAATAATCAAAAATATATTGTCACAAACAACTGATATTCAACTGTAAAATATATTCAACAATTTTGTTTGGTTTCAAAACTTAATAATATACGTAAATTATTGATTTGAAATTTTTATTGTGTTGACTAATTTGTTGTGTGAATAATTGAAAACGCTGTTATTTATTGGTTGAGTTAACCATTATTTAACACAATATGATTACAAAAAAAATATTTACAATTTTTATTCTAAATTGAAACAAACTTTATGTGACAATAAAAGTGTTTTTTGTAAACAGTTTTTCAAATTGTTAGTGGTGTTATTAAATGCATTATAATTGATTGTTATAATTTTATTCTGGATAATAGCATTTGTCATGTTACTTTAATTTAAAAGTACAGTTGCTATTTTCGATAATAATTATACGATTACAATTAAACTTTAATAATCAACAATGATTGTACATTAACAAATCAATTAATCAAAAAATTCCATTTAACAATCTTTGTTATACAATAATCATTTTGGATAATGTTTTTCTTTGTTTTTAAATTATAATCAAATCAAAAAATATGTATAAAGTCTGTCTAAAAACGTTGTCCATTTGACAAAATTTTACACAAAATAAGTTGAAAAATTTAGGAATTAGGTAAAAACGATCAAATCCAGGTAAAAATTATGAAACAATGTTTTGGGATTGTTTCGAATTGTTTCCCGAAATATTCCAGTTTTGATGGTCCAAAAATGCCTGGACAACGTTGGAGAGCCGACAACGTTTTCAGACTGACTATATTTATTAAATTAATGTCGTTTTTGTCAAGTAATTTGTATTTGTAATCACTTGTCAGTTTTTTATTTCAAACGTTTTATGTTGTTTTGTTAATTGTGTTGATTGTTTTCCATTGTTTTAAAAATAATCTACAGATAGTAGAAAAATAGGGTGTCAGGAATAAATTGGGTGTCAAATAAATTAGGGATTAGTTAATGTAAAAAAATGGGTTTCGTTTTTTTTTATTTTTTCCCCCCACAAAAAAAAAATATGAAAAACCATTAAATAACTCAAAATCAATCTGACACCCAATTTATTCTTGACACCCAAATTTTCTACTATCTGTAACAGTGTATTATTAACTCATAATAATTATGATTGAAATATTTTGTGTTGATTTTTTAAAGGTGGAAATAGTGTCAATTTCAAACAAATGTTAAGACGTACAGTTGGAGTAATAACCTGTCAACTGGAACTAACCACAGCCATTTTTTAAATTCAATTTATGGTATTTTAACCATTAATTTGTCTTTTTTAGATTATTCAAGTTCAACAAAATCAATAACAAAAAGCAATGAACAAATGAGATGTTTTCTTCGAATTTCAAAAACGAAAAAAAAGCCGAAAAAAACTTCAAAAATTTCCAAAATTTGTCCTCATTTCACCAAAAAGAGTCATCTTTTTATAAAACATTTTCTTTTTTACTTGGTTATATTTTCTTGATTTTTTTTAGAAAATGTCTTCTCGTATTGAATCAATTTCAAAGTCTTTACCAAAAAGTTAAAGTGGAAGATATTCAAATTCCCCAAAACCCCAATTTTTGCACAAAACAATCCATTATTTTCATTTAAACAATTTTCTTTTAGGTTTTAAATCGTTCATAACTTTAAACATCCTTTTCATGTTGCCAAGTTTTTCATCACTGAATCTGATGTCCTGCTTCCCTAATCCTCAAAATCACGTTGTCGCTGATCACAACACTGAAATTCCAAAAGAGACAAAAGAAACAAAACAGTTGAAGAAACCTTCTCTTTCACAAAACAGCATGCGTCAAAATGTCCAGAAATCAAAAGAGAATGGTATCTCTCCAAAGAGACTTCTTCTTGTTGAACAGGCTCTTGAAAAAGCTTGGCAGGATGAGACATTTTTGAAGGAGACTTCCATGCGTGAACAAATCCATTATTTGCATTACAAACTTCATCACTCAACAAGAAATATCCAGATGCTTTATGGTGCTTCAAAATCCACGATAGACACCCACACCAGAAGAAAAATCGGAGAATTGAAGAACGGCAAACCTCCAAAAATCTCCAAAGATGTTGATAACAAAATCGACAAGTGGCTTGTCACTTGTAAACGAAAGGGAATTGCATGTACTGTCACTGGAATTCTTCGGTACATGAGTCAAAAAGTACCCGACATTGAAATATCGCGACGGGGTCTCATTAAACACATGAAGAAGTTGAAGATTGGTCTCAAGAAAGCAACTGCAGAAGATCTAGACAGAATCTCCATCAATTCAGAGAACATTGTTGATAACTTCAAAGAGCTCAAAAAGTTTGACAATATACCAGCAGCCCTATGTGTAAACATCGATGAAATGGGAAGCAACGATTGGGCAGACAGAAAGAATCTATACATCTTCCAGAGTAATGAGGACAAGACAACCCCAAAGCACGGTTGTAGCAGGTCAAGTAAACATTCCACAGTGATAGTTGGAATTTGTGCGGATAAAACAACGTTGCCTTTCGGCATTGTCATCAACCAAAAACAGTTCTTTTGCGAAGCCAAAGAGAAGTTCCCCGACTGTTTCGTCTATTACACAAACAACGGGTTCGTCAACAAATATATCTTCAAGCATTGGATGGCGCAGATCATCAAAGTGATCGTCAAAAAGAGAACAGAACTTGGTCTTGATGGTAGTTGGGGACTTATCACAATGGACAACTTTTCGGGACATCTTGACGAGGAGCTTCTTGGATGGCTCGAAGCAAACCAGATCAAATTGCACACATACTGCCCTCATTCAAGTCACCTCACTCAACCACTCGATCTGTGTTTTTTTGGAGCAGTCAAAAAACACTCAAACGCAGCAAAGTCACTTGTTCGAAAGAGCGCTCCCACCAAAGAAATCACCACTATGTTTTCAGAAGTTGAACAAGAAGATGAGTCCGACCAGGAAGTCAACGACGCCTTCAATGAATTCATCGAAGATCAAGAGGAAGTAGAGATTATGAAGTCGTTTGCAATGGAAGATGAAGCAATCAACAAAGTCCTTAATGGAAACAAAAGATCTCCAAACGGAAGGCAAATCAGCCTCAAAATCTCCTCACTTCTCAAGACTCTGAGTGATCGCTCAACCATTGGAACAGTGGTGGCTTCATTTGAGAGAAGTGGGATTGTCGTCAGAGAGGTAGATGGTATCAAACGAATAAGAATTGACCCGAATCGAGCTGCGCGGTTTGTAAAAGAATATACTTCGATCGCGACAAGAACGGACATTCTGGAAATGTCGGAAATTCCGAATGAACCCGTTCTCATTGGGACTGTCGATGAAAAGGTTGTTGAAGTTCCCAACAAAACGAGCAAAGAGGAAGAAGAACAAATCGTAGAGGAAGAGCTCCAAGCAATAACAGAAGAATGGACACCAACAGCATTTCCAACGCCGGTCAAGAGACTTCCATCCATAATACTCAACAAGTAGAATTGCGACCGCCCCGGTTGGATTCTTTTCAACCTGACGGTTCTGGAACCCCCAGTTTCCAACCCACCTTCGCTGTTAATTATGTGACACTCGGAACCCCATTCGAAACACTGGGGTATTCTCAAAGAAGACAAACCTTTTTTTCTCCTCAATTCTTCCCACATAGTGAATTGCAACCACGTGGCGGAATGTTGTCCCAGCATCCCACCCATCAGCTTCAGCTGAGGCTGGTCCTCGATGACCAAGGCGTTGATGAAGAACATCACAATTAAGATGTCTTTTACTCTCATCGTTTTTCTTTTTTAGTTTTACTTTTTTACAAAACCCAAAAATACCAAAAATACCAAAAAAGCTGACAGGTTTCATTTTTGAGATGAAATCTCAAAAAACAAATGCCATAAAAAACGTACTAATCCGGGTTTTAGGCTTCCTAAAGGAAAATGGCTGACAGGTTAGTTCTGGTTGACAGGTTAGTACCTCACCTGTATATTTTACGTTTTATGTTGTTGTGTGTAAACTCAATTGTAAATAAAATCAATTTTATTTTGATTTGTGAAATATGTTTATAAAAAACAAAACAAGTCGAAAATAGCTTTTGATTACCTTTCGTTTTTGTCAAAAAAAATAAATTATGCATAGTTTGTTTTTTAATAGCTAAATAATTATTAAAGTATAGCATTTTTCCAATTATTTTATTAATTTTTATACAGTATGTGAGAAAAGTATGTGAGAATGAGAAAACCCTGTGGATTCAACAAAAATTACATATTTGTTTTTCTTTTTTTAAATAAAAATGTTTTTCTTTAAAAAAACAATCTAAATAATATAATTATGAGCTCCAGGAATGTTGCTTTTAGTGGCTTAGACCATACAACACTTGAAAAGAATTTAAAGTATTGTCCTGGTCCAGTGAAAGAAATAGCCCAAAGAACATTCAGCAAACATTGCAACTTTTGTGAATTGCCCCTGAATGTTCAGGTGTATTTGATGAATATTGAAAGAGAAATTTTCAATGGAATTAATACGGAAAAGGTGACCGAGAGTAAACTATGTAGAGTCTTTGCTTTAACTTCAAGTCAGTTTAATATCAACAAACGAAGAGGTATGGAGACGGCATTGTTTGGAAAAAAAGATAACGGAAGACCGTCACTTTTAACTGAAACACAATGGGAAATTGTCAAGAATTTGATTCTTGATAATGAAAAGTTTCCAGGAAAATGCAAAGCTATCAGCATAACTTATTTGAGGTTGTTTATAATAAAAACCTTCAACGTTGATGTGTCAAACCATGTTATTTATGATAAAATACATAAAAATTGGAACTTTTCGATTGTTACTGTGTTTGCTGAAGACCAATCTCGATTGACCTACGACGAAGATGCCGTGTTGAAGTATTACATTGCACTGCCACTTTTTTAAATGGCATCCCATCACCATTTATTTTGAATTTGGATGAGTCAGGGTATCAGCCATGGCCAGACAGGCAAATGGTGAAGGGAGTATTCACTGCTGGTTTTTCCACAGACAGTAAAATGAAATATGGAGTCGAACGTGACATTGCTCGATCCACTGTCGTTTGCACTATTACCCCCTCACAACCTCTTCCTTGTATGATTGTAACAAAATACAAAAGAGTTGCAGTTGAATTCTTGAAATTGGGTTGGATGGAAACGGGAAACATCGTCAGTTATAGCAAAAATGGTTTTATCAACAGTGACTTATTTATACAATACATCAACGACGTTGTAGTACCTTATATTGTCGACATGAGAATTAAGACTGGTTATATTGATAAGGCCGTTCTGATATTTGATCAGTGCACGTGCCACTCAATCGAAGATGTGAGGTTGTTGCTCAAGTCGAATGTCCAAGTCAACGAGAAAATCATCAACGTGAACTGTGAAATCGTATGTTTGGTGCCTCACACCTCACATTTAACACAACCATTAGATGTTGGGGTGTTTGCAGCCCAAAAAAGAAGACTGAATTCGTTGTATGCTAAGTTCAGAGATGTCATAAAAATTAAAGATAGAGTTGGCGAGGAAGAACAACAACGACAGAAAGTGAAGACGTTGAAGAAAAAGAAGAGTCAGATGATGTGATTGGAAAGCCAGATCCCATTGAAGAACCAATAATACCTCAACAGTTTAAGGAAATGTTTCAGGAAGTGCTGGCAAATCCACAAGAAGCGATATCACCATTTAAAAAGAAGGCTGGTACGACTGTCAACGAAAGGATGGTGGATGACAACCAATCAGAAGATCGCAACGAAATACCAAATGAAACTAAAATTGTTGAATTCGGTGATGGAGAGGACTTAGAAAAAAAGTTTGCCAAATACCTCAACTCAATTCTGAAGTCTTATTTCCAAACAACCACTCCGGATGTGTGCACGCAGGCTTTTAGGCAAGTTGGTATTGATTTCAGAATTGTTGATAGTGGTATGAGGGTTGCGTATGTGGATATTGGAGTCTCACGCAGAGTAACAGCAGAAATACCGAAACTGTTAAGTATACCACAGTTATACTCGATTGAATGGGTCAAAACCAAAAGCTTGAAAATATCTGCAGTTCGAAAGCTTCCAATGTGTTTTGAGGGTTATTCGTGTCAGTCTGTTTGCAAGCCGTTAAAAAGAAAAGAACGGGATGTTGTATGTAAAGTTGTGAAGAAAAAGACGACCAAAAAAATCTCAAAAAGAACTAAAAATGGGGTTGAGAATTTAATCGATTGATTTTTATCTTTTTAATCAGTTGTATCGCCCAGTTCACACTACTGTTTCCTATCACAGGTCAGAATGGTCACTGTTTGAATCAACATATGTCTGAACTATCATAAGTCCTTCCAATAGAAAATATTCGTTTGTTAAACTTTCTTTCGTTATTGAGATATTAACTTGTAGAACTTGCTCGCAAAAACTCTTAAATTAAACGTTGCCTGCTTTGAATCGTCTAGCTGCTATGGCTGATTTGTCCAGTATTACTGGGATTCTTTAGCGTGAGGTCTGAGTCAATTAGTTGGTAAGTGCTGGCTGGCTGTTCACACTCTGAAAGCTGCTTTGTAGGTTTCCAAACAAATTGAAAGAGAAAATGAACTGTAAATAAGTGATTTTTTTATTTGATCTTTTTGAATTTTTTGAAATAAAAAAATAATAATTTTATTACATAAAAGTTACACAATTGTAACTTTTGTTGAATCCACAGGGTTTTCTCATTCTCACATACTGTAGTTGTTTTTTTGATTCGGATTTATTTAAAATTATAATTAAATTTTTGAGGAAGTGTAAAGTTTGCCGAACTATGCACTTCCTCAAATATTTGGCAAAACGCTATTATTATTTTATCCACTATAAAGTATTATTTAAATTAATAATTTTATTATTTCATCATATGATTATTATTTCAAATAATAATAATATAATACTTTTATAGTACTTAACTTTTTTTACACAAAAAAAATAACAGTTTAAAATAACATAAGTGAAAAACGAATTTTGTGTCTTTTTTTATAACACATTTTAACCTATTTTAAAGATTAATACGTATTTTATATTTTACAGTAGGAGGAAATAAAGGGATGCTAGAGAAAGGAGGATGCTCGCAACTATTGGTTATTTTAAATTCAAAATAACCAATAAAATTAAAAAAAACCAAAATAAAATTATTTTTAGATTAGCATCCTACTTTTTTCTCAGCATCCCTCTATTTCCTCCTACTGTATATGATGATGACATTTTTGTTGTTTAATTTTTCGAAAAATGCCGACGTGTATTCATTAACTATAAAAAAATTATCATTTATTTATTAATAAAAAGATGAACGAATTATTTATCAATTCACTATAAATATACTAAAAAAACATTAAAACTCAAACATTGAAAAGAACTTTTTCACAAGAAAAATCTCAACAATGTGGTGAAATATTTGCAAATAATTGTTGAAGGTACCATTTTATTTATAAATAATTAAATTTATAATATCCTAGTAATATCTACTTTTAATAATATTTCGTTCGATCAAAATAATCCATTTGTTCTCATACGATCTTATCTCGACTTGTTGAAATTTTTGGACAACAAAAATCCGACACACAAATAGACCTCTGTACACACGCCCAAATCCCCAAGATATTTTGCTTTTTCTTCACTGATTCGAAATAATCTCATTAACTCAAAATATTAATCAATAACTATTATGGTAACTAATAATAAACCATTACCAAAACTTGAATTTCAAACTCAATGGCAACATCTTCACTTGATTTGTTCCAACGTGTGTTTATAGGGGATGACGGGTACAATTTGATGATTGAGATAAGTCGTGGGGTCTCCATAGATTCTCTAGACTTTGTTCAAGATTGTATCACTTTTTATGAAGCGCACAAACAAACTCTTCACTTTCTTACCTTTCTAATTCATTCAGAGCTCTTGACAACGACTAACGGGACTATGTTCCGTGGCAATTCCTTTTGTTCGCGATGCCTGATGACATACACAACAATGACTTCTGCCAATCAGTACGTTACTTCCTTCTTAAAAGATCCAATGCAAAAAGTTCTCTCCGGGCAGTTCGGTGCACTCGAATTGAATCCCGACTACGCCACTCAGCCGCTTGATAAAACAGCCGACTTACTCAAACAAATTGTCGCCGCATTTATTGACGCATTTATAGACTCCGCTGAGTTATGGCCAGAGACTTATAGATACTTATGCTACGTGTTATTCACCGAAGCAGAACAAGCACATTTGAAGCCTTTGCAATGCGTCGGCGGCTTTCTAATACTTCGCCTGATATGTCCTGCCATCATGCAGCCCAATAAGTCAGGCTTCTGCCAAGAAAAGCCGAGTGAGGAGATCACCCGTGGGTTGGTCACTATCTGCAAAATGATACAAAACATCGCAAACGACACCGTCCCACATGAACCACATTTAAGATGCTTAGAAGAGTTTTTAGAGGACCAAAGCCTCAAGTTGGCAATTGCTTTGACGGGGATTTCCTCCGTGCGGCCGACAAAATTCTCATTTTTGAGTTTCAGTGATAAAGAGCTTGACAAGAGTATCAACGGGATTATTACTATGTGGAAAAACAACATCAAAAACGTCGACAGCTATTTACAAGAAAAAAGCTCTGAGGAGTACAAAGAACTCGCGCGAGCTGTTTTGAAGTATAACACCAAAAGTTACTTCAAACGCAAAAGCATCATGAAAAAGAAGAAGAAGGAGGAAATAGCCATTTCGACGTTATTTGCGTTATCAAAGAACTCGAATGGGTCGGTTAGCGAGATGCAAACGGTACTCAAGAAGTACCCGGAAGTGATCGATTGCACTGATGTCGATATGATGACTCCACTCCAATACGCGTGTGTTATGAAGAACGTTCCCATCGCAATTTTTCTTATTAAAAATGGAGCAAGTCTCTTTTTGAGAGACTCGATGGGGTGCACGGCACTTCACTATGCATGTATGAGTAATTTGACCGACGTCTTAAAAGAAATGCGCGAGGCGGACTTTTTGAGTGTCGGGGAAATCGACGAATTGGGCAATACGTGTTTACACTATTTAGCTAAACACGAGTTCAGACCTTTCCATATCGACTTTTTGCAGTATTTGGTGAGCAAAGACTCTGCTATACTTTCCATCGCAAATTTCAACGGAGACATTCCACTGCATGTCGCCGTCGAAACTGCACTGAAAGATCACGAAATGGGACCATCGACTATTTCAGCACTCGTTAAATTTGGGTCGAACTTCGAGACGCCTAATTTGAAAAAACAGACTCCACTTGGGAGAGTGCAAGATAAAGGAAGAAGTGATTTGGAAATACTTATGATGAGTCAAGACGTTATTAAAGTCGCTGAGTTTGTACCATTACCAAGTACTGCAGAAACAAGAATGAGGTCAAATTCATGCGAGAAAAAGGGTAAAAAAAGAACATCTATTCTGCTCCACAGATCACCGGCATCACCAAGACTGTTGGCAGCATACCAGAATAGAACTAGCTTCACTAAATCGTCTTCGCCTTTACTCGGACAGGCCAAGTAGAGTCTGTGATCGACTCTATTTATTTTCGGATCGTTGAATATGGTATTTTTATAGTTTATTATTTTATAATATAGATTTTGGTAAATACTAAACAAAACTATATTTTATTATAAATAAAACCAATACCATTTTTAAAAAATAACATTAATAATTTAAATATAAAATTGAATTATAGATTCTATTCTTTTGAATGTTAGTTGGTGTATTGGTGATGACTTACTGGTTGAATGGTGAATTTGATTAACACAATTGTTAATTCACTTTATGTGAATTAACAATTGTTCAATTTATGTTGTTTAAGAATGTTAATTGTTTTTAAACACTGATTAGATTTTCTTCTTACATAAATACAAAATTATTGTTGTGTTGAAAATAATGAAATAAAAGTTTGTAAGCGTCAAAACTTTAGAAAACATTACGGTTATAACAATTAAGTAACATAACAAGGTTATAAGTAGCTTTTTTAGAATAAACTATTTTTTTATTAAATGATTTTTAAAAACTTTAATAAACTCCAAATTTTTAATTAGAAAACTTAATAAAATAATAACAATTCAATTTTCAAAAGAAGGCGGGTTTGTCTGTTGGATAAAAGAATCATCTGGTATTTCAGGAGCGTAATGGAAAGAGAACTGGAAAGGTTGTTGAAATTGTTGCGTGTCGAATTGATGAGGCAGTTGTTGTGTTGGTATGTCATTATCCAAATAAGACATTTCTTTCACATCTTTTTTTTCAATGGGTTTGTCTTGTCGCGTAAAAGTAACACCACTATTACACAATTCGCAAATAGGTGTTGATTGACAGATGCTTTCATTTTTAATATGTTCAAATGACGTTGGTCTTTCTTCTACTGTTTTTTCTTTACTTGAACGCATACCCTTTCCAGTTGGAGGTGGTAAACATACACATCTAAAATCATCATTTTGATCTGTATCAACTTGATATAATGTACATCTTGTTGTGTAATCTTTATACATGACTTCAGTTACCTTCCCGTATAATCCCGTCCCATATCTTTCGACTTCTTCTTTGGTTTTTTCCACCTCTCCGACACGCATCCTACTAAATTTTTTAAGAGACAATCCAGATTTTGTAAAAGGTGATACACTAAGTTCATTTTTGACGAAGGTGAATATGTTTGTATCAACAAGTGCTTGACATAAACACTTCTTAATATTTGAATATTTTTCGTGATACAACCTATTGAGCTTATTGGTTGTGTGATTTCCACCAAGAAGAGATTTTTTATGCTCAAAAATAAGCTGGTTTACTTGATCATTGAACACCTCTCTGTTATCTGGACTCCATATAGATGCAGTGAGCAATTTCATACTTAATGTTTTTGTTTTGGAAGGCTTGTGAAACACAACCGTATATCCTTGCGTAATGAGGATTGCCTGCATGCCGAGGATAAATGCAGCGTTGTGTTTTTCATCGATAAGTCTTTTTTCGGATTTAGATGTTCGGGCAATGCTGTGTTTTCCTTTTAAAGGTTGAGACATCGTTCGGTTTATAAGAATTGAGTTTTTCGTGAAATCGTTTCTAATTTTTCCATCATGGAATTTTTATATTATTTTATATTATTAAATATTATATTAAATAGTAAAATAAAAAAAAAGATATTATTTCACAAATGATTTCACCTTTTAATTGGATGATCTATAAATCAAATATTTAATATCAGATTAAAATTTGTTTTGTCATGTTATTCCAAAACCAGAACTATTAAAAATATTAAAAAAATTATTTACTATTATTTACTATTCTTATCATGTTTGTATTATTTTGATTTTTATCTAAGAAAAACAAAAAATGCATTTGCCGGGACTCGAACCCGGATCTCCACCTTGGAAGGGTGGAATTCTGCCCTTAGACCACAAATGCTTCTACAAACAATTAGATATTATTATTATAATTAGAGTAGGTGCAAAAGTAAAACTAGAATGATAAGTAATATTCTATTATAAACAACTATTCGTTATTGGTTTCTATTTTTATTTCTATTAAAATTCTAAGAACTGATTATAATGAACAATAATTGTTAATGTTTGTTTTTCGAGAATACATTTGGTCAGTTTAGTGTTAAAATACCACATAAATTGAATCTTAACTTAATTCACCAATATACACAACTCTGTCCATGTCCAATTGTACATAGAAAAACTCAAATTTATTAAAAACGGAACACGTAAAATTGTTTTTCAAAACACAACTTTTATTGTCGACTTAATAAAATTTATGAATTAAACTAAATGTATTTTTATTGAATTTAAACAAAGGAGGTAATGGTGGTCACAACAAAGATTTATACAAGCAGTTGTGTTGCAACAACAAAACAGTTAATACACACATCGACTATTATTGAAAATATTTCATTTTAAACACGTTGTAATTTTGTTAATTTTTTAATAATACTTACTTTCTAAATAAAAGGAGTCGAATAAAATTTAAAAGGTTGTAAAGTGAAATATCTCTTTATACACAATGACAAATTTAAGTGTACATCAATTCATTTATTTGATACAATGAATTCCATTTGTAACAATACAACACTTTCCTTGTTGACAAGAAAGGTGTTCATTTTGCAAACAAGAGAAAATAGATCCGAACAACTTGCTTATTGGGATAAACAATTTACAATTTTAATAAAATAAGGCATTGTTGTTATCACTCTTTGTCTCGTGGATAAATCTAAGAAAATAGTTGTCGAACAATTCAATACATAAAAAAATATAATCTTATAATTTTAAAACCGAATATAAAAAATATGTAGAGTTTTTTTAATTATAAAACATAACAAACAAAAATATGTTTATTTTTTTCAATCATCTCAAACCATTTACATATTGAACTTTTTATCAATTACCTTTAAAAACAATTAAATTGTGTTATTTTTTATATTCAATAAAAAGTCTTGGTTTTTATTTCGTTGTGTTTTATTTTTTTGTTATAAATAGAAAGAATTATACTTTTTGTTTGATTGTTTGAATTTGTCATAATGTTTTATTTATATATAGGTATGAAATTATAATATAATAATAATACCACAATATTATTATTTGTAATATTTGTACTGAATTGAGAACAAATTGTTTAATTGTTTAACTTGACAAGAAGGTTGGAATTATTTAAGGTGGTTTTGATAGACAATTTTTAATTCCAGACTTTTCAAATAACAGTTATTTGGAGATTTTTTAACATTAAAGAAAATCACAAAAATACACTTCTTATATAATAAACTCGAAAATAAAAAAATAGTAGAATTTGATTTTAAACAAACCTAAAATTCACACGAAAAATTGACTTTAACAAAACTACAAAAAACAATAACATTTATAATTATGTTTAAAGCAAAAGGTGTGTTTTTAATATAGAAACTGTATATTTTGTAGTTAAAAATAAAAATACAATGGAAATGATTGTTTATTGGTGACAAAAGAGACACCACTGCGTTGTTTGAGTATTGTGAGGGTGAATAGAATAAATAATTTGAGTATTTTTGGTTCAATTATTTTTTTAGAAACAACACAAACAATGCAACATGTTTTGAATACACAACAAAACCCTGTACAGAGAAGCAATGATTTCAGATATAAAGATAAAATTAACTTGTATTTTAGTATAGAATATAATTGTTTATATTATAAATTTATGAAAAAAACAAAGAATAAAAATAGAGAAAAAACAGCCATATATAAAGCAAGAATTTAACATTATAAACATATGATGAATAAGTTGTTTCTTTCTTTTCATATCGGACAAACTAACCGCTTAGAGAGTGTTACGCAACACAATGTAATCATCAATGTATCTTTGTGATCCCTCATACACTCATATATCCAAAGCAAGTATAGGCGCTTACAATCAAATGGCTTGCTTTTGGAAAATACAATCTTATTGTCATTGGTAAAACGGTAAATATGATAAGCGCCTGGGTGTGCCATAAAGACTTTGAAAGTCTTCCCTTATTAGTGTTCTAAAAAAATATCAAATGAAATTATGAAAAGACTGACGTTAAACAAGTCAATCACGACTTACCAATATCAACAATTTGATTTGGTCCAAAAAGTGGCGCAATTCAAGTCGAGAAAAAGGATAATTTATCAAATGAATTAATGAAACCAATGAAAAAAATACACAAATTACAAAAACAGTTTAGAACAACAAATGTATTGAGTATAACAAAACTAGAATGATAACATCCAAAAATGAATACACTAAAAAGATTGATGATTATATATGAGAAAAAAGAAAAAAAACAAGAATGAAAAAAAAAATATAAAAAAAACGAAAAAAAAACGAAATGGGGATAAAAAAACACAAAAAAAAGAGTCACAAAGATATTATTGATAGATTACATTGTTTTATTTTATTTAATGTTAATAATATGTTAATAA